GGCAAAACTCGAAAATCAATTATTCGGATGTTCCTGAAGAAGGGCTACAGTAGAGTTATTAATTAAATAGGAGATAGTTAGAGCTTTATCCTTTAAAAAAATGTCAAGCTTTTTGCAAAATTTTGTACTATCTCGTAGAGAATCGTGATAGAAACAGAGTTTAAGCTCTACTTCTGACAAATATTCTCGCGAAGATATTTCTTGTTCGGTCTCTGCCAGAAAGATGAACAAAGACACTGTTGAAGTTTCAGCCTTTCTTCCTCCTTCTATCACCATCAAAAACAATCGGAAACTTTGGGAGAGCTCTAGTTTACGGCATTTATTTTAAAAAAAATAGCTTACAAGTGCATTATCCCTGCAGCAATAAACTAGGGAGACGATTTTGTATCCAGGTATTCAAGGCTTATTTGGGTCTTCATAATACATAAAGTGTCAATTCAAAAGTGATTTATCAATGGAAGAACTTTCCTTGTACAGTATACCAATATGAGTGACGTCAGCACTTAAATACTATAAGACAATGTCAAAAAAACGTTCGCTTTATATGCTCTGATAATAAAAGTAATGCTGTATACTTTGTCATTCTTCAACTATAATAGCATAATATTAAAATTTAGATACGAGTTGTTCTATTGTAATAAGTAATGCTAATGCTAAAACTCATAAATTAAAAAACGACCAGTTGATACATTCTGAATAACATTTTTGATGAAACTAATATAGAGAGTCAAGCCTTTGGCCATTCAGACAGAAGAGATAAAGATGCATTGAATCGTCAATTATAGATTTTTTTCCAAATTTCTCGAACGACCTCTTCTAAATACAAGGCCACTTCTGGTATTTACAATGAAATTGCAACTATCAGGTGTACGTGCGAAGTAATAGTTAAAGCTCTAAAAACTGCATAAGACACAGATATTTAGATTTCATCATTTCGGAATTATATGGAAGTTTTACTCGAAATTTGAAGTCGTTTTTTCCCTTCCATAAATAACTATTTTCCAACACTGTTGTAGAAAGTTGATTAGAAAGAACATTTGGAAAAAATATAGGAAACACCAATAAGATATAATTCGATACGTCTTCAACTCCTCTTTCTCATAGTAAGAATTGCGATTTTCTATTTCGATTATATCAAACTCAATTAAAATAATTATTATCGTCACACATCATAACAAAACAGTATTTATCAAAATTTTATTGTTTCGATACTAGTTGAAAAATGATGAGATACTAAGCACAATTTTTACTATCAACTCATATAGAGAGCAATTGTCTTCAGCTTTTCTATGCGGTATTGAAGTGCCTTCGCTTTTACTATTTCATATGTCTCAAGTAATATTCTCAATACTTTTTTTAGCCTCTACAAAATGGAACCTCATCTGGTATGTTCAAGAAAAGAAAAAGTTCAAAACATAAAAGTAATTATCTTTTTATTGCAGTTTTACAAAATTCTTCGAGTCCAACACCACAGCAAACTACTATAATGAATATAGGTTCTCAACAATCATCACGTAAGTTACAAATTTTTCATTTTTTTTTGTCGAATGAAATTTGATTATTTAAATAGATAATCATGAAATTTCTCAGGCAACAATGTCAAATGATAATACAAAAACTGAACCAACAAATGATGTAAAACCATCAGAAAATGAAGACGATAATAGTTGGCATTTAGTTGGAACATTTAAAACAACAACAGTTGATATTAAACATTATTATGTTGTTCCTCCACAAATTAATATTGATAATTATGTTTGTTGATTTTATTTTTGTATTCAAAAAAAGAAAATAATTTTTATATTTCTCTTCTTTTATTTGAAAGGATCTTCCTTCACTTCAATTTCAAAATTTAGTTAAAAAAGTTAATCTTGAACCAGGTGTTATTTATAAATTACGAATAGCAGCAGTCAATTCATGTGGACGAGGACCATGGAGTGAAGCAGCAGCATTTAAAACATGTTTGCCCGGTGCACCACCAGCACCATCAAATATTAAGATAACTAAAGTATGATATAAAAACTTAAAAAAAGAATATAATCAAAAGCAATCAATTGAATTAGAATCATGAAGGTTTTCATAAATGTAATAGCTATATTTTTATTACAGACGAGAGAACTTCTCCAAGTGTCAAACCGATTTTCGATTGAAACGGCATTCATTTGATGAGCTATAGAGAAGCCTAACATGGTTTGGTTTTCTTCACTCCTGCTCTCGAAGTATGGAAACTTTACTGGGCTTGTCAAGAAAACACTGTAGCCCTCCTTCGGTCACGTGCAAAAATTGACTTTTGAGTTTTGACTTAAAACTTTGCACGAACATACTTCTTAACAAAATTAATTGATTGTGAAAGTTTTTTACTTTTTTTTAAGATATTTTCTAAGCTTTGTTTTCTGAAGATGTTTTACTTTTTCAAAAGTGTAACATGCATTTTTTGAAAGCATTATAACTCAAAGAGAATTCATTTTAAACTTTAGAATTCTTTATGGAAACTAGTCTAGTTAAGTTCTCTATGTACATAAAGTTTCAGATCAAAATTCGAAAATAGGAGTTCTCTGAAACACTGTGCTCTCTCGAAACTAGACATATTAAAACTTCTGTAGTTTAAGAGAGAGTCCACCACAGGATCGAGAAACCCCATACTCCCAAAAAAAAATTTTTTTTTTACGGATTAAAAACTTTTTGTTTTAGGCTGGTTTTGTAGCTTTTTTATTTGCCCATCCGATGTACGATCCAAATTTCTGGGATCAACTAATCTTGAGAGATAATTTCTCAAAAATACTGATTTTTGCTTGATAACTACGTCGTATCAATTTTGACTTAATCAGTGTGTAGTCATCAGTGTGGTCTGCATAATTTTTTTGTTATATAATCAATCGAGCAAATATTTTGGGTAGAGTAGTTTCACCTCATGGGCTATCGATTCCACAAATAAAATGAGGTGGCCAAAATTTTCGGGAGTATGGACCCTTTAAAAATTCCTCGATGATCTCATGGACGCCCTCTTAATTAAATCTCAATAGGGAGTCAAATTCTTTTAGAGTTTTCATTAGAACGCTATGTAGTCTCTATAGACAAAAAAACTTGAAATCCGAAGGAATTATCTAAAGAGATTTCCTAATAAGTTCAATATCATATTTTGTAAAGAGTAGTCTTCAGTACATAACGATAGACTCCAATAATTGATCAGGTCTTTCAAAAAGTCCTTCACTATTCCTAAATAAAAATAGACACAACATTTGTAAGCAGATATTTGACTTCTGTTCGCGATCTATAGTTGTTGTCTCCTCTAAAATGCTTTCAAATAGGTCAACATGAACAAATTATTTTGCCGAAAAACGTTCCGATCACTTCGTTAATAGAGAGTTGCTGATATTCATAAAAAAGCTGTTAGCGCAATCCCTTGCGGGATTAAAAATGTGAAACATGATGGATCTATTGTTACTAATTAAATGGAAATCCTTTTGTTCCGTTTCTTTGCGACACATTTGTAGCTAATCGTTTATCTGATGCTTTACAACTACAGTTTCTCTGTCACAATCTGTGATGGGTACCAGGGTTCTCTGTCACGGTCTGTGATGAATATGGGGATTCTGCATCACGGTCTGTGATGGGTACCAGGGCTCTCTGTCACGGTCTGTGATGGGTACCAGGGTTATCTGTCACGGTCTGTGATGGGTACCCGGGATTCTCTGTCACGGTCTG